GAGGGTGGGTGGGTGGTAAGTTGGTAGAGGTTGGTGGGGATGGGAAATAGGGTGAGAAGGTTGAAAAAGAGTTTTGGAAAATAAATTCCATTTCTTGACAAGGAAAATATTTTTGTTTGATTAGAGGAAATTGAGTTTATGGGAAAAATATTTTCCAAAATATTTAAGCCAAACAAGAAAAAATTAGAAAATACCAAACACACCCTAAGTCTATTTTGCTTTCTCTTTATCATACTTTCGTATAGAAAATTCATACGAGGAGTTCCATTTTCCCATTTATTTTTAGTTCCATTTATTTGTTTTTGGTTATTATTTGTTTTTGCTTCTTTCCATTTTTTTAAGTATTGGTTACTGAACCTTGGTTATTTTCTGACTTACAGCCCCTAGTCCACCTGCGGTTGTTGCACCTGGTACTTAATTCTTTTAAATTTCATTCTTATTTTACCAATGTCACATTTCAACTATTCTATTTCCCCATCTATTATTGAAATGAAGATGTTGTTAATTAGATCATTTTTTTCTGAATTAGGTCCTATTGGTGACACTGGGGCTCCAAGTGCTTCACCAACATCTGCTCCTATTATCCCTGCTCGTAATCCTAAAGGTACTTATTCAATTCTGTACATGCTTACATTATCACATAAATAAACTTCATAAAATAATGTATTATTTAACCAGCCTATAAATATAATTAATTGATTGTATGATTTAATAAATAAAACAATAAATTTCTCTCAGATTCTACTGTTCCACCGCCGTCGCCATCAACTTCAACATCGCCAGCTGAGGAAATACCAAGTCTTACTCCACCATCTCCGCCAGCGGGTTCTTCACCTACGGCGACAAATTCCGGCAGCCAAACCCCGACTGCACCATCAGCTGCACCTTCTCTTGGCTACGGAGTTTCACTATTATTTCTGCTGACTGCATTTGGAGCAATTTCATTAAGCTTGTATTAGTTTGACATATTACCGTTAAATAATTTAGTTAATTAAAATATATTCCATTTTTTTTTTTGCGTGGAGTGATGAGATTATAGCATTTATTTTCAGATTGTGTAAAACAATTAGAAATATACAGTAGCGACGTTGATGTGTACATATAGAAACATAAGAAATAATGTACCTAATATTTGATCATATGGGTACTTCTATTTGATTTAAAGAATCTTTGTATGTATTTGATAAAATATTGTTGACCTCATTCTATAAATCTTTTGCAAGTTTGGGTGCTACTAAGTTCTCAATCGGCACATGGTGCTTTAAATATTCATAAAAAAAATTCTTATCATTAGGTGAGGAAAAGAAAAAGGAGCTTTTAAAGTGTATCATTATAGGCTTTCTAGGCTAATAATGTAGATTTTGTATTTGCTAAAATGCTTATGAAAAAAAAAACACAAATCAAAAGGGGCAAGCACACAGTAATAATTAGGTAAAAACTTGCTCACATTTACAAATCAATAAGCACATAATGCATATTTTCACATAAATTCTTATTATCACTTGCAAAGAATTACTAGTCATTCAAAAAACATTTATAGAGTTCGGTGCTTAAGGAGAAAAAGGGGACAAAACAGGAAACATAGAAGTTTTAACTTAATAATAATGTACTTTAATCTCCCAACTCTAAGTATGTAAGACCATCTCTACCCTTACACTAAAAATTACGTCAAATCCTATTTTAGTATAATATTTGGTGTTTTGGTGCTCTAACCTAACACCATTTTGGTGTGTGAATAGTGTTACATTAAATCTGATATAACGCTATTCATCAACACTATTACTATTTATCAAAATTTTATTATTATTTTTTATTATATAACTGTGATGATCCGATATGTCATTTTGAGTATTAGTCAGTTAGCTTTGTTTGATGTTTCTTAGTTTGCATGCGTGATCCGTGCCTCTTTTTGAAAAGCTTTTATGTGAATTTGAAGAAAACATGATTTTTGACTTCAAAAACAACTTGAGTTGACCACGGTCAACAATATGTGAAAATAATCTCGGATCGATTTTTTGACGATTTCAATATGACTATATCATGATTTTGGACTTGCCCGTATGCTCGAAATGGGAATTGGAGGTCCCTAATTTGATTTGACTCGAAACCTAGTATTTTAAAAGTTTGGAAATTTCCTAAGTTTTACCGTAAGTTGACTTCATAGCTAACAGGTTCGGATTTTGATGTTGAAACTTGGAATAAGTCTGTATCGCTATTTGAAATTTGTCTGCAAAATTTGGTTCAATTCGTAATTGATTTGATATGATTCAGACGCTTAGGTGTGATTCTAGTGTCCTTGAGTTTTACTTTTAAATTCCAATCGTTTCGACGATTGATTTATAGATTTAGATGTTATTTTGGTAATTTGATTGCACGAGCGAGTTCGTATGATGCTATTACACTTGTGTGCATGTTTGGTTTGGAGCGCGAGAGACTTAGTAAGTTTCGGACGTGTTTCGGATGAGTTTTGCTAGCGTGGAGAATGCTGGTGCAATACCAGCTCTGGTGTCTGCTGTAGATCTCGCATTTATGATGTCTGGCTCGCAATTGCAAGCCTTGTTTTGCGAACAAGAGTTTGCATTTGCAAGCAGGGTCTGAGATTTGGTAACCTCACATTTGCAAGGAAATGGTTCGCAATTGTGAAAAGCTCAGTATCGCATATGCGATCACTTGGTCGTATTTGCGATGCCTGGCAAAATAGTATTCCTTTGCAATTCAAAGATTCTGGTCGCATTTGCAAAGGGGGACCTTTGCATTTGCGATCATTTTTGCCATATTTGTGATTTTTGTGGCTCTAAGGCAGGGTTCGCATTTGCGACCCTTGTCTCGCATTTGCGGTGTTCGCAATTGCGAACATGACTTCGTAATTTCAATTATTATTATTATTGCGTACAGGTTATTGTAAGTCATTCTCCATAGCCTCGTCGCTACTTCATCGGGGTTAGGCTCGACACTTACAGAGTACATGGGGTCGATTGTACTCATACTACACTCTGCACTTGTTGTGCAGATATCGGAGTTGGTCCTAGCAGTGTTGGGTGAGATTGTTCGGATCTAGCTATCAGTGGAGACTTGAGGTATAGATGCACGGTGCCCGACTCCCCTTCTATGTCATTTTAGTTGTTTATTTTGATTCAGACAGTTATGTTTTATTCAAACTACTATCTGTAGTATTCTAGATGCTCATGTATTCGTAACACCAGCTTTTGAGATTGTATTTGTATTACGTAGTGTGAGTTTATCACCCTATTTCAGACTATTTAGTTTTATTGATATCATTTTATTTGAATTGTTAAAAATTATTTATAATTATAACTAACATTGGCTTGCCTAACAAGTGAAATATTAGGCGCTATCACGATCCCGAAGGTGGTAATTCTGCATCGTGACAATAATACTTTTAATTTAACATATTATAAATTTTACTTTTTTCATTGAGGTCGCTAATACACCTAATTATTTTTATGTAATATCTTTATAACATTAATTTTACATCTCAATTTTGGCGTATAATATTTATAAATTAATTTATATATATTATTTTTATATAAAATTGTAAGTTAATTTATTATAAGTTATAATTGTATAAAAAATATCACAGCCAAAAATTTAACTAGCCGTGAGGCACCTAACTGTGATGACCCAAAAGGTCATCACTTGTTTTAGAAATGAATTATGTGTTCCGAGGCCTTAGAAACCTCTTTGCATCACCTCGATTTGTGTGTGCAGTCTGAGCGCGTAGCCAGATAAACATTATGTGAAAAATTGTGAAAAATGATGAATTTTGATTGTAAATAAATTTATTTGACTTCTGTCAATATTTTGGGTAAACAGACCCGGACCCGTGATTTAACGGTCCCGGAGAGTCCGTAGGAAAATATGGGACTTGGGCGTATGCTTTGAATCGAATTCCGAGGTCCCAAGCCCGAGAAATGAATTTTTAAAAGAAATTATTTTGCTGAATTAATTATGAGTTTTTGAAAGAGAAATGTGTTTGAAACCATTGGTATCGGGACCGTATTTTGGTTCCGGAGCCTGGTACAGGTCTTATATATGATTTGAGTCGAGCCTGTGAAAATTGGTAAGAAACGGATTTGAAATGTTGTGAATCGGACCTTATTTGAAAATTTTGGCAAGTTTGAAGTTCTTAAGAAATTTCATGATTTTGATGCTAAATTCATAGTTGTTGATGTTATTTTAGCGATTTGAATGCACGAGCAAGTCCGTATGATATTGTTAGATTGGTGTGCATGGTTGGTTTGGAGCCCCGAGGGCTCGGGTGAGTTTTGGATAGGCCACGGAGTGGAATTTTGACTTAGGATGTTGCAGATTTTGAACTGATGTATTGTAGGCGAAGCCTGGCTCGCAAATGCGAAATCGCATTTGCGAAGGCTATGTCGCAAATGTGAACTAGCATAGGCCAGCACTTTCTCGTAAATGCGAGGTCCCCATCGCAAATGCGGTTCCCCCAGCTATTGCCTTAGTCGCAAATGCGACTCTTGTATCGCAAATGCGATTTCGTATTTGCGAGAGGTCTATCGCAAATGCGAAGAAGACCGAAAAATCTACTTTGACGCAAATGCGAATTTTTTTCGCAAATGCGAACATAGCAGAAGTCGGGGTTCGCAATTGCGAATCCTGGTCGCAATTCTCATATCTGCAACCTACAATTTTTATACTTAGTCGAAAATTTCCCATTTTTCACACTCTTTCAAAACCAAAACACTCTTGGGCGATTTTTCAAAGACAACTCTTCCTCCAAATCGATTGTAAGTCAATTTTAACTCATTTTCTTCAATCATTAACATCTTTTCATATGATTTCAACTCAAAATCAATGATTTTCATGGAGGAAATTGGGTGTTTTGGGTAGAACCTAGGTTTTTTTTTTAAAAAAAAGGGAATTTGGACCTTGATTTGAGGTCCGATTTCAAAACAAATTATATATTTGGGTTCGTGGGGGAATGGGTAATCGGGTTTTGGTTCGAACCTTGAGTTTTGACCATGTGGGCCCGGGGGCAATTTTTTACTTTTTTGGTAAAACTTTGGAAAACTCATTTTCATGCATTGGAGTTGATTCATTTAGCGTTTATTGATGTAATAAAATAACTTGTGGCTAGATACAAGTGAATTGGTGGTGGAATCACGAGGCAAAGTGATAGTAGAGGCTTGAATTGTGTTTGTGGCATCGAGGTAAGTGTTTGGTCTAACCTTAGCTTGAGGGATAAAGAGTCGTGTCTTATTTGCTACGTGTTAATTGTGGCGTACGACGTATAGGCTAGAGCCGTCAATATGGGTTTGGCCCGTTGGGCCAGCCCGAACCAGTCTGTGATTTAGCAGGGCTGGGCTAGAAATTTTGGAGCCCGTTTGAAAACGAGGCTTTTAAGCCCGGCCCGAGTAAGCCCGTAGCCCGTGAGGCTTGACTGAGGCTGGGTTGGGCCGGCCCGTGGGCCTAATAAAGTATTTATTTAAAATATATAAAAAATAAAAAGTATACTGCCTTTAGAGATGGAAAGTTAGAATTGGATCTTTACTAAGAGGAACCAAAACTTGATCTTGAGAAGTTTCAAGAGATGATGTTGTCATGTATTGAAAGGACCATTCTAGAAAATATCCCGATCTTTCAATGATGGTGCGTGATGTACTTAGCATTCTTATTACCATTGTACCATAGGAAAAACCATTTAGCATTGGTGGCGTATTCTTATTTATTATGAAAATGTCCAAACACTTGTTACTACTCGACATTGGCTGCACAGGTTTTCCCGAATTCAAACTGGTAATATTTTTGTATGTGAATTTAAATATTATTAATTTTTAAAATTTAATTATTTTAATATTTATCTAATTAATATTGCATATGAATTATAGATGAAAGTAAAGATGTTAAGACAACCTTGTCACAAGCGGATTCAAATGTGTTTGATGAAGATGATGTGTTGGATATCTCATAAGCATCATGAACGTTCTCTTGAATAGTTTGTTTTAAGTTTTGACTTTTAATGAATGAAATATAGTCCTGTCTTTTACTTATTTTAGTATTTATTGTGGATATATTGGAACAATATAAAAAGTTATTAAGTTTTGTGAATTTTTTCCAATAAGATATTTTTAACTTTTAAATAATTATCTTTTTTTAGGTCAGACCTTAAAGAAAAAATATAAAAT